TACACTATATGTTTTATTTGTTTTATTTTCTTGTCGCTAGGTAGATTATTGCAAGTAATTTTCTCTGTTTCTCTTCCAAAATCTTCTATCAAGGCTAATCCCTTCCACGGCATTTAACAAAACAAAATGAAAAAAAATAATGATAATAATGATAATAGTAATAGTAGGTGATACTAACTACTAATGATATAATGATATAATAATAATTATGATCATAATAAGGACGATGATATGATAATAATAATAAAATAAGAATAATAATAATGATAATAATAATGATAATATATAATGATAATAATAGTAATAATAGTAATGGTGATAATTATGATAATGATAATAACATATAATGATAATCACAATCATAATAACAACAACAACAATAATAATAATAATAATGATTATGATAACAATAATGAAACTAATAATAGTGATAATAATAATCTCCCCCCCCCAAAAAAAAATTTACTTTCCGCACAGAAAAAGACGCCCACACTTACAAAGTAATCAATCCTCCACAATCAACGGCACGAAACCCGAATATTTAAGAATAATGTAGTTTTCTCAACACGAAAAATGTTGTAACCTTGAAAGTCTGAGGTGATTTAATAACAATGAGATAATAAGAGTGAGAGTGATAATAGCAAACGTACCGAAGGCAGTTTATTTGAAGACATAACAAAAAAGAAAGTATAATATATTTCATGGTCTCTGAACAAAAATAGAAATATATCTATATCGATGAATCGTGAAAAATAAGGTGAACATATTCACTAAATTGTCTTAATTGCCTTTTTTTCAGATTCCTTTTCTTAACAATTCTAATGTATTTCACACATGGCTAAATATAATGATTAATGGATGATTTGAATAAATATCCTTGAATTTACCTCAAAAGTCGAACTCCAGAAGAAAATAAAATGAATATTCGAAGAGAGAGAGAGAGAGAGAGAGAGAGAGAGAGAGAGAGAGAGAGAGAGAGAGAGAGAGAGAGAGAGAAGAGAGAGAGAGAGAGAGAGAGAGAGAGAGAGAGAGAGAGAGAGACTGGCAGACAGAGAGACAGACAAGGGAAAAAGAAAGAGATAGAAAAAAAGGTAAAGAACAAGAACGGGAACGGCAAAGAAAAGACAGACACAGAAACATAAACACAGGAAAAGCACTCCAAAGACGCCAAAACCCCCTACGACTTGGAAGACCCCGACCCAAGGAAGGCCAGGAACGAGAGCGAGTTGACCCTGAAGCTCTGAGTCTGGCTCGGCTGGGAGAGGAGGGCGCTCTTCCTCGACGCCCTCCTCTGTATCACCACACTCTCTCGCCCGCAGGAGGAATTGGAGGACTCGTCCCCGTGGGATTCCTGCGAGAAGGTCCCTTCCGTCGTCTGCTGGAGGCTGGAGTGGGGGGAGCCAGAGGGAGGTGCCTCCGCCTGCCTGTTATCCGAGGGTGTGCGATCTTCGTCCAGATTTCTCTCTTCCGTCCGCGGTTTGTCTTCGTCTTCTTGGGTCTCGGTTGGCTTATCCGCGTCTTCTCGGTTCCTCAGATCTGTGATAGTCGCTGACGTTGGACTGACGACGACGGGGCTGTCGGCGGGGCTGGAGACGTGACTGACGGCGTGGGTGACGAGGGGCTGGAGATGTGACTGATGGTTGGGCTGCGACGGACGCTGACGAAGGGGGCTGACGGTGGTGCTGGAGATGGGGGACGACGGGGCTGGAGACGTGACTGACGGCGGGGGTGGCGACGGACCTGACGAAGGGGCTGACGGTGGTACTGGCGACTCGGCTGACGGCAAGGGCTGACCGACGGGGTTGGTCGGCGGGGCTGGAGAGCGGACCTAACAAAGGGGCTTACGCGCGGTGCTGGGCGAACTTGGCTGACGGCAGGGCTGACGACGTGGGTATGTGCGGCGGAGCTGACGACAGGGGCTGAGAACGTGACTGACAGGCGGGGGGTGGGCCGACGGAACCTGAACCAAAGGGGGCTGACGGTGGTACTGGCGACCTCGGCCTGACGGCCTGGGGCTGACGACCGGGGTTGTCGGCGGGGCTGGGAGACGGACCTTAAACGAAAGGGGTGACGAGTCGGGGGTTGCTCTGGCGGGGCTGGAGACGGACCTAACGAAGGGGCTGACGGCAGGGCTGACGACGGGACTGGATGAGGATGAGGACGGGTTCTCAGCTCCGTGGCCGTTGTTTGTGATCTCAGTCGAGGAGAAGGAAGCCGTCTGTCTTTGTCCTGTCTGTCCTGATTGTCTGAGCTCCTCTGGAATTTCTTGGCTTTCGGTTCGGTCGGCGTCCCTGTAAAATGTATGATGGCATTGCCTTAAGTATAGATTTAGTGACGTCCACTGTACTGAATTTGAAAAAAAAAACATTGTAACTATTGTTTACCTCTAAAAATGGCAAGGAAGACAGAGAGAGAAAGAAGAAAAAGAGAAAGAGAGAAAAGAGAGAGAGAGAGAGAGAGAGAGAGAAAGAGAGAGAGAGAGAGAGAGAGAGAGAGAGAGAGAGAGAGAGAGAGAGAGAGAGAGAGAGAGAGAGAGAGAGAGAGAGAGAGAGAGAGAAAAGAGAGAGAGAGAGAGAGAGTCAGACAGACAGACAGAGATCAAGAAAAGAGAGAGCGAGAGCAAGAGAGAGGACCAAAACCCAACCTCTCCGGCGTGTTCCTCGCCGACGAGCCGACCGAAGGACCCGACCCCAGCGTGTTCATGACGGTCTCCACGAGGTCGAACCGAGGCGTGACGTCAGAAGTCCGCGGCGTCTCGTTCCTGAAGGAGGAGGAAGAGGAGGAGGGCGTGGCATCCAAGACCTTCTTCGAGACGTTGCCGATGTCCCTTATCCTCTCGAGAAGCAGGTCCACGGCATCGGAGGAAGGATCGAAGGCCAGGACGAGGGACACGATCTCCTCGCAGCGACGCCTCTCCTCTTCGTCGTCGTCGAGGAGGGGACCAGCGCGGGGGAGGCGGCCGGCGCGGATGCACTCGCACACCTGTGGGGGGGTGGGGGGGGGGGGAGAGGGGGGGGTTTTATTTTGTTTTTCTTGTGTCTCTTCTTTTTGATGTTGGTTCGTATTCGGATTACGTTTTATTCTATTTTATTTTTGTATCTGTTTTTCTCTGTCTTCTTTATCTGTTCCTCTGTCTCTCTCTGTCTGTCTCCTCTCTCTCTCTCTCTCTCTCTCTCTCTCTCTCTCTCTCTCTCTCTCTCTCTCTCTCTCTCCCTCTCCCTCTCTCTCCCTCTCTTCTCTCTCTCTCCTCTCTCCTTCCATCTCTTCTCTCTCTCCTCTCTGCTCTCACTTTCTCTCACCACACTCTCACTTCACTCTCACCCCTCTCTCCTCCCACTCTCACTCTCACTCTCCCTCGCTCCTAAAGAGCCAGACAGACAGACAGAGAAAAACAGACAGACACAGACGCCTCGACAAACAGAAAGCCGAGAATCACCTGGTTCGCCCTGTCCACAACATGCTGAGGGACCCCGGCGATGGCAGCAACGACGGCAGCATAGCTCTTTCTTGCCCTTCCCTCTGCCACCTGGTACAAGGGGACGACAGACCCGCCCTCTTCTACGGCTTCCAGTACCTACGAATGGGGAAAATTAGAGTTATTGAAGAAGTTCTATAAAATAGAGAGAGAGAAAGAAAACTATTTAAAACTATTTTTGTGTGTTTGTTCAATGTTAATGGATCTTTTTTATTTCTTTTTTTTTTGTTTTGTTTTTTTTATTGTGAAGTAGGTTATTGAAGTGTTACGTTTTTTCTTAATTAAAAAGAAAGAAAATACATAATTTATCCATGTTTATATATATATACTTTTTCTTTATTTTCTTACTTTACTTATTCTTTACCTATACATGCTCAGATAAAGCACGAATATATACTCAGATAACATTGTCATGCATTTATCCATATATTCATCCGTGACACGACACTTGCCAAGCATCTCACGGCCTCGGGATGCTGCAGGTGATCGTACACTTGCAGCAGATGCGTCGAGACGAACACGTGCGGCGGCGCCCCCAGGGGATCCCTTCCCTCCCGCCCCTCGCGTCCTTGGAGTCCTTCGTCGGGCCCTTGCGAGGAGGAGGGGGAGGAGGGAGAGGAGGAGGTCCCAGGGGGGCGGACGCGGGCGCGCTCGGCCCAGTGGTCGAGGCACGCCGTCAGGAGAGCCGCGCCGTCGTTTTCGTAGGTGGCCGCCCCGAACTCGTCGATGATGACGAGGGAGTGGCGGGTGGCGCGGGCCAGGGCGCCGCACATCTGCGCATGGAGGAGGAAGGCGTCAACGGCGGCGTTTGTTTAATAGAAAAGGCGTGAAAAGATTCGTTTGATACATCCGATTCGATTAAGTAACACTAGCGTACTTACCAAAATTTGCATGTCCTATGTAAAGAAAAAGAAAAACATCTAAACCAGGGATTCCCAACCTGGGGGCCACGAGATATTGTCTGGGGGTTCATGGAGCAATAAGAAAACTGAGACCGAATTCAAGTGGATTTTATCTCCCCCCGGCAACACCAGGTTCCCTTCCATTACTGTACGTAGATTTTATTTACCATAACATCAATAAATTTGAATCTTTCCCTATAGTGTTCTTGTCCTATAGTTATTGGCACCATTAAGAGAGAGAGAGAGAGAGAGAGAGAGAGAGAGAGAGAGAGAGAGAGAGAGAGAGAGAGAGAGAGAGAGAGAGAGAGAGAGAGAGAGAGAGAGAGAGAGAGAGAGAGAGAGAAGAGAGAGAGAGAGAGAGAGAGAGAGAGAGAGAGAGAGAGAGAGAGAGAGAGGAGAGAGAGAGAGAGAGAGAGAGAGAGAGAGAGAGAGAAGAGAGAGAAGAGTAACAACTGAATCTGAAAAGTTGAAAGACATGACCTGGGCCATGAAGAGATTATTCTATGAGAACCACTTATCCAGATTAAAAATCAATAAATACGGAAATCAAGCACACTATAGAATAATCAGACATAATCCAAAAACCGAGAAAAAAAAACAGAATAAACAAGAAGAAAATAAGAAACAACGAAACAACAGAGAGAAGAAAGACATATAAACAAGAAGACCCACGAAAACAAAAAACAAAAAATTAACATTAAACAAGAAAACAAGAAAAAGAAGACAAGCAAACACACAAACAAAAAAACAACTATAAAACAAAAGCCCAAACATCAACCAACCCTCGTGAGGTCAAGCATGAAGGCGGACAACGATGACGTCACAGCTGGGGTCGATTGCGTCACCGCGAGAATGACGTCAAAGGGGCGGAGTCGAGCGCGGGCGGCAGGCACCCAGCACCCGATCTGAGCCAGCACCGCGATCACGCCCACCTGGAGGGTATGAGGGCGTGGGAAATTACCTCACGTGTGGGTATGAATGTATGAGGTATTCGTCGTATGATGGGCATATGGGTGTATCGTATTGTGGTACGTGTGGGTATGGTGGTATGAGGCATTATATTAATAAGGTATGAGGCAATCGTTATATAATAAGCATGAGGGATGAGGCATCTTGTTACGAATAAGGCATAATGGTATGAGGCATTGAACATGTTGGGCATGAGGGTATGACACTCTGGAAGACATGTTAGGCTTGGGGGTATGAAGCACTGGACTACATATCAGGGCACAGGAAAGGCTACATCAGCAGCAACTCGAGGAGGTGTCATGGAGTCTGATTTTGATGACGTAACAAGAGTTGTTATTCTATATCTGGAAAAAGCACTTCTCTCATCCACAGGGCTACTTTGATGATTGTTTAATGAAAATACAACCATTAAAATCATTATTATTCTATATCTGGAAAAAGCACTTCTCTCATCCACAGGGCTACTTTGATGATTGAAACAAAAACACATGGGGTTTATTGTTCAATTTGGTCTTTTCAGTTTTCAATAAGGATGGAAAATAATTATTCTAAGGTTTTATTTTCATTAACAATCACCAAAATATCCCTGTGGATGAGAAGAGCGAGCCATTATGTTCATGCATGAATGAAGTGGAATTGCTCGCAGTGGGAGTCAAGCCAAAGCCTGTATTTTTTGCTCAGCTTGAAGGAATTAAGTATACCTACTTTTAATTAATACCCCCATGCACTCAATGCATGGAAATTATTCAGCTTCATTATTCATCAAAATAATTAATTAAAATCAAGGTATTCATGAAATATACAAAACCACAAATCACAAAATTGGAGAATTATCAAGTATAATTGGCAGTCTATCTTTTTTATGGAAGTATGTGACCTATTCACGATCCACACGACAAACACACAAAACAAGCACACGCACTACAATGGAAATGTTGGGGACATAATTTTGGAAAAACAAACAAACATACACATACACACATGCGCACACGCACAAACAAACAACCCCGATCCACACCAAACATATTACCACCCCTCCACAAACAGCCCCCAATCCCCCCCACATCCTACCGCCCCCACACACAAACCCCTTTCCACCCCCATCCCGTCCCCCATGACCCTACATCCACACCCACACACACACGACAGTTTCTCCACCCAACCAAACAAGCCCTTCCTCCACCCACCCCATCCCCGTCCCCATCACCCTACACATACCCCACACACAACTCCTTCTCCACCCCACCCACACAAGCACCCCTTCTCAACCACCCCATACCCCCTCGCACCCCACCCACACCGACCGCCCCCCACCACCCCACCCCCCCCAACCCCTTCCTCACCCCACACATCCCTCCCACAAACACCCCTCCCCACCCACCATACCCCAACCCCGTCCCCATCCCCCAACCCACCCACCCAAACAAAACCAAGAACCTGCTTCAGATACACCGTCTTCCCGCTGGCATTGGGCCCGTAATGGAGCGTAACGCAAGGATCGGACTGCCGCTCCTGACGGGGTTGGCGACGAAGGCGGGCGTGCACAGTTCGTACAAGGGGGTGCGGGCCTCCTCCACCTCCAGCGCGGCCTCCTTCGTCAGCTGAAGGCCGCACCCACCCGCACTCGCGCGACAACCACGCGCGAATGGAGAGTAAGCTTGGACAAAAAAAAGGAATACATATTGTAAGATGAAAAAAAAAAAAAAAAAATAAGAAAAAAAAAAAAAAAAAAAAAAACATTGTATTATTAGGACTTGGTTTTGGGGATATGACCTGTCTATCTTTTTTGTTTGTTTGTTTGTTTTTAAATTTCTCGAAGTCTGTCTACCTGTAATAGCATGCTCTTTTACGTTGTACGATATTTTGCTTACATGCGTTTAGCTGACTTGAGTTTCCCTAGAGAGAGAGAGATCAGAGACAGAGAGCAAAGACAGAGACGAGGAAAGGGAAGTCGAGACGTAAGGACAGAGAGACATGACAGCCGAGACACAGTGAAAACAGACGAGAGAGGAGAGAAGGAGAGAGAGAGAAGAAGAGATAAGAGAAAGACAGAAGAAAGAAAGAGAGACGAGAGAAAGATCGAGAGACAGAAACAGACAGCAGACATGAGGAAACAGAGAGAGAAGAAAAGAGAAGAGAGAGAGGAGAGAGAGAGACAGAAAGACAGAACAAAGAAAGAGACAGAGAAAGACCGAGAGAAACAAACAGACAGCCAGACACAAACACAGACACAGAACAAGAGGAAATAAAGGAAGCCACCAAAGCGAAGAAGAAAAATACCAGAGAAAAATTACCAAGAAAAAAGAGAAACAAACACAAAAACAAAAAAAAGAAAAAAGACCAAACAGCAAAAAAGAAGAAAGAAAAAAGAAAACAAAAAAAACAGCAAAAAAATAATAATAATAAGAACGAATCCCGAATCCCCAACCGACCCCCAAAACCCGAAATCCTCCTCATCCTTCCTCACCAATCCAGCATGAGAATCCGCTGAACGAGGTGGACGAAAGTGGATGCCTGGAGGAGCAGGGTCTCCACCAGCCGCATCATGATCCTGGTCTCGTGGTTGGCGATGTCCACCTGGATGTCTCCCAGTTCGCGGTCCAGCTCTGTCGGGAGAGGGAGAGGGAGAGAGAGAGAGAGATAGGAGGGATGAGGGAGAGGGGGGAGAGGGAGAGGGGGGAGAGGGGGAAGGGGGGAGGAGAGAGGGAGAGAGAGAGAGAGAGAGAGAGAGAGAGAGAGAGAGACAGAGAGAGAGAGAGAGAGAGAGAGAGAGAGAGAAGAAGAAGGAGAGAAGGAGAGAGAGAGAGAGAGAGGAGAGAGAGAGAGAGAGAGGAAGAGGAGAGAGAGATAGAGAGAGAGAGAGAGAGAGAGAGAGAGAGAGAGAGAGAGAGAAGATGAGAATGAAGAATGGAGAAGAAGTAAAATAATGGTATAAAAACGGAGTTTCGAAAAATTGTTGTGTACTTACTGGAATTAAGATTTTAGTGTAAATAATAATAATCATAATTATAACAATAATATAACAATGTGCCAAATGATATTCTTAAAAGCACTTATTTTCTGACATATAAAGGTGAAAGATGGTAATAAAAAAGAGAAAATATGAAAATATTTAAGTAAGAAAACCAATCCTATTCTTACCATGGATTATCTGACTCTTTTAGATATCATAAGAAAAGAGGTCTGACAGAATAAAAAGGTAAATAATAATGATGAAATGTGATGATAATGATAATGATAATAATAATATAATTAATATAAATATTAATGATAATAATAGATAATAATAATAATGATATGATAATTATGATACCAATATAATGATGATAATAATAATGATATGATAAATAATGATATTGATGAATAAAATAATGATAATAACAATTATAATAATATAATGATATATAATGAAAATAAAGTGACAAATATAATAATAAATGATAATAATAATACAATAATAAAAATAATAAATAAAATAATATAATAATAATATAATAATGAGAATAATAATATAGATAATAACAACAAGTAATAATAATGAGATAATAATATAACTAGAAAACAACGCAAAAGAGAAGAGAACCAACGCCCTCCTCACCGTGACACGTCTGACTCTTGTACAGGACCATGTCGCTGGTTCGGAACATGAACTCCAACCCGGGCAGGTCATACCCGTGGGCGTTGAGGCTCTGGTCCAGCTCGGGCGTGGGCGGGAAGGCGAGGAGGTAACCCACGTGCGGCAGGTAGATGATGCAGCAGGACTCGACCTCGGGGGGAAGGTGGTCCAGCTCGACCTCGGCCACTCGACTCATTGATGACGCTGAATCGACGCTTCTCTGGTGGGGGTTGAGGGGTGTGAATGAAAGGAGAGAAGACGTGGAAAATTAGTGAGGAGGAGTTTTTGTTATGATTGTTTAGAAGAAAGAAAAGAGAAGAAGAAAGAATAATAATAAGAAAAGAAGAAGAAGAAAAGAAGGAGAAGAAGAAGAAGAAAAGAAGAAGAAAAAGAAAAAGAAAAAAAAAGGCAAAAAAAGAAAGAAAAAAGAAAAGAAACCAAGAAAAAAGAAAAAAATGACGAGAAATAAAAGAAAAAAAAAACAAAAAAAGAAAAAAAAAAAAGGAAAAACAAACAAACAGAACAATCAAAAAAAAGACCAAGCCTAAAAAAACTCACTCTCGTCAAAGACCCGGATCCAACACTCCCTCTGGGCCTCCCTCTCCGACTGCTCCACGTCCATGATGCGTTGGATGAGGAACGTGCGTGGTACAGGCCTCGGTCACCCCTCGCTCACCTGTGGGCGTGAAGGGGTGAGGAGGAGGAGGAGGAGGAGGAGGAGGGGGTTGTTGAAAGAAGGGGAGGGGAGAAGGAGAGGGAGGGGAAGGAGGAGAGAGGGGGGAAGAGGAGGAAGGAGGGGGAGTGGGTTGAAAGGGAGTAGGGAAGAAAGGGAGAGGAGGAGGAAGTGGGGTGAAAGGGGAGAGGATAAGGGAAGATGGGAGGGGAAAGAGGAGATGAGGGAGAGGAGGAAGAGAGGAGGGAGGAGGAGAGTGGAGTGAAAGGGAGGGGGGAAGAGGAGGAGGGAGTGGGAGTGGGGAAGAAGGGGGGTGGAGTGAAAGGGAGAGGGAGGAGATTAGGAAGGGAGTTGGGGGGAGAGGAAGGTGGAGTTAGGGGGAGGAGGAAGGGGAAGGAGCAGATGAAGGAGAGGAATTGAGAAGGAGGAAGGAGTATGATGAGGAGTATGCTCGGACCCGAAACGTCACCTTTTAGCACTCATCTTCATTGCGACAGTGTTATAATTTCAAAGAAAAACTCCCTCTCTGAAAGGGGCTCTACCCTCTATTACTTCTATTTCATTTTTCTATTTCCTTTCACCTCAAAGAATATCTGTCTTTCATGGTGCTCATACTACGATATTATTTCTGTAATTCACTCTACATTCAAAAAAAATATATCTGTCTTTAAAGGCTGTGTCTATCTCATCTCAAAGAATATCTGTCTTTTAAGGGATTTTGTCTAAATTGTGATTTTTTTTTCTCTACTCTATTTTAGCTCAAAGAATATTTGCGTCTTTGAAGGGGCTCTCATCTCTGTCTTATTCCTCTGTTTTATCTAATCTCAAATAATATCTGTGTCTTTCAAGGTTCTCTCACCTCTATCCCATTTCTCTCCTCTATCTCACCTCAGAGAATACCTGTCTTTTAAGGTACTTTGACTTTGAATCTACTTCTTTACTCCACTCAGTTTCAAAGAAAATCCGCGTCTTTTAAGGAAACTTTCGCCTCTATCTTACTTCGAATAATAAATGTGTCTTCTAAGTGTCTCTCGCCTCCTTAAAGATTGGAATGGCATCTTACTTCGAATAATAACTGTGTCTTTTAAAGGTCTCGCCTCCTTAAAGATTGGAATATCACCTTACTTCGAATAACTGTCTTTTAAGTGCCTCTCGCCTCGTTAAAGGTTGGAATGTCATCTTACTTCGAATAATAACTGTGTCTTTTAAGGGTCTCGCCTCCTTAAAATTGGAATATCACCTTACTTCGAATAACTGTCTTCTAATTGTCTCTCGCCTCGTTAAAGATTGGAATGTCATCTTACTTCGAATAATAACTGTGTCTTTTAAGGGTCTCGCCTCCTTAAAAATTGGAAATCATACTTCGAATAACTGTCTTCTAATTGTCTCTCGCCTCGTTAAAGATTGGAATGTCATCTTACTTCGAATAATAACTGTGTCTTTTAAAGGTCTCTCGCCACTCACCTTTTTATCAAATAACAACTGTCTTTTAAGAGTCTCTCACCTCCATAAAGATTGGAATGGCATCTTCAAATAATTATTGTCTTTTAAGGGTCTCTCGCCTCTTGTTACGATTAATAACTGTGACTTTTAAGGGTCTCTCACCTCCTTAAAGATTGGAATATCCTGGTCCTGGGCCTGACATATTTCTCCCACGAGTATAGCGTTGAAGAGGGACTGCAAGTAATAAACAAATAAATAAGTCGCCCTTTACGAAGTGTAAGGAGTATATGTGTCAGTTAACTGTATTTGTATTTCATTATCAAAATGGATGTTACTTTATTGTTTATGTTTTCTTTCTAGGACGAGGATAAAACTATATACTTATTGGTATTATAATCATGATCATTTTTACTATTATCATTAGTGTCATTATCATTATCATCCTTTGATCATTAGTATCATTATCTTTATCGATATCATTATTATCATTATCATCATTACAATCATCATCGCCATAACTACTATTATCATTATCATTATAATTATTATCATCATCATCATTATTATTATTTTTTTTACTATCATTATCATTATTTTCATCATTATCATTATTATCATTTTTATCATCATTATTATTATCTTTATCATCTATAGCATCATTATTATATCATATATCAAATTTTATCATCATTATTATAATCATCATCATTATTATTATTATCATTATTACTATAATTATTTTTACTATTATCATTACATTACATTACATTACCATTATCATTATAATTATCATGTCTACCTTTTTATCATTATTATCATTAGCCTTATCCTTATCATCATCACTATCACTATCATTATCATCATCACTATTACTATCATTATCATCATTATCATTACCATCTTATTATCATTATCACAGTAAAACCACTGAATCAACCAACCTTATACAAAGTTCTCCAATCCCTCACATTTAGCTGACCTCTCTGAAGCCGATTCATAGTGTGCTAAAAAAGAAAAAAGAAAAAAAAAGAAAAAAAAAGAAAAAAAGTCCAAGGTAAATATCATAGTGTGCTAAAAAAGAAAAAAGAAAAAAAAAGAAAAAAACGTAATTGTGGTAAAGACAAATCATATACTGAGTAAAAACTGGCTAATTCAATATGCTGTCTGTAGTGCAGAGAGACATTCAACGAGAGAGAGAGAGACAGAGAGAGAGAGAGAGAGAGAGAGAGAGAGAGAGATGAGAGAGAGAGAGAGAGAGACGAGAGAGAGAGAGAGAGAGGAGAGAGAGAGAGAGAAGAGAGACGAGGAGAGAGAGAGAGAGAGAGAGAGAGCAGAGAGAGAGAGAGAGAGAGAAGAGACTGAGAGGGAGAGAGAGAGAGAGAGAGAGAGAGAGAGAGAGAGAGAGAGAGAGAGAGAGAGAGAAGAGAGAGAGAGAGAGAGAGAGAGAGAGAGAGAGAGAGAGAGAGAGAGAGAGAGGAGAAAGGGTTTTTGTATAATGAAAGGCAAGAGGTATATCAGCATGATATTATAGTCTGGCATTCATAAGAAAACTGAAGAGCCGTTACATGACAAAAAAAAACATTATTCAATCTTATGAATACTATATCCCGCTGCAAAGACCTATTCTAAATTGCTTAATAGACCACAATAAAAACACATCATTAATCCTATATTATATCCTACTGCAAAAAATCGAGTCTTCAGCTATTATGAGTTGCTTAAAATCGCACAGAAAATCAATATCCTTAGACTTGTACATCCTATTGCAAAAAAAAGACGAAAGACCAGCTATTCTAAATTGCCTAAAAATTCCACAATAAAAAAACAAAAAAGATTATCAACCCTGCGAACACCGTATCCAATTTAAAAAGATAGATACTCCAGGTATTTTAAATAATTTCAAATCACACAATAATAATAATAATAAAAAAACATCGTTACCGTTACGAATACTATCTCACACTAAAAAAAAAGAAAAGAAAAAAACAACCATTCTGAATTGCATTAAAATCCCACAGTCAAAAAAAAAAAAAAAAAAAAAAAAAAAAAAAAAAAAAAAAAATCATTAACCCTATCCTATCAACCCCATCAAAGACACCCTCAATTACCGGCACATTTCTGATCGACTTGAGACAGGCGTGAAGGTGTCTGAGCGTCTCCATGTTAGCCGTGTCCACGCCCCACTCGACGGCGGCGTACCGGGCCTCCAGTACCTCAGCGTCTAACACGGGCCGCAGCAACACCCTCCTGACGAAGAGGTAGGAGGAGTGATTACGGATGGAGGGGGTGTCTTGCGTCATCGGTAAGGAGTTAATTAACGTACGTATGCATAGACTCAATGCCGCGAAAGAATACAGGTGTTTTGTACCTGGGAGATATATATGATTGTCTTATTATTCTATGATTTTTTCCCCAGGTGATGAATATGGTAGTAAGTAACGTGTTGTTATTATTATCATTAGTAATAATATTATCATTATTTTTATCACTATTATTATTATCATTACTATTACTATTATTATTATCATAATTATTATAATAATTATTATTATTGTTATGATCATTATTATTATCATTATTATTATTAATAGCATTATCATCAACTTCATCACTATTGCTATTATCATTGTTATTATCATTAATAATATTATTATTATCATTTATCACTATCATTATCCTTATCATTACTATTCTTATTATCATTTTTATCACTATCATTATCCTTATCATTACTATTCTTATCATTATTATTATTATCATTATTGTTATCAATATCACTATCCTTATTACTGTACATTTTTTCTCCAGATCCCTCGAGCCACCCACACCACCTACCCCTCACCTGAGCGTGTGGGCGGCCATGGGCGAGGCGGTCCGGCTGAGGAGGGCGTAGATGCTGAGGCCCTCCTTGCTACTCGAGGTCTTGCCGCTCTTGAAGGCCGACGGGTGCTGGTCCTCGGAGAAGAGCTGCAGCGCCGCCACCGTCGCGTCGTCCAGCTGGGCCAACTCGTCCCTGTGGGAGCGAGAGCGAAAAATGATAATGATGATGATATTGACAGGAAAACGAAAAATATATGTATAGGGACGAAAATATCCATCCATCAAGCAATCTATTTATGTATCCGTCCTTCTCTTCTCCCTCCCTCCCTCCATCCATTCACCCATTCATCCGTTCGGCAATTTCTCTCTCTCTCTCTCTCGCTCTCTCTCTCTCTCTCTCTCTCTCTCTCTCTCTCTCTCTCTCTCTCTCTCTCTCTCTCTCTCTCTCTCTCTCGCTCTCTCGCTCTCTCGCTCTCTCGCTCTCTCGCTCTCTCGCTCCTCGCTCTCTCGCCTCTCTCTCTCCTCGCTCTCTCTCTCTCTCTCGCTCTCTCGCCTCTCTCTCGCTCTCTCGCTCTCTCGCTCGCTCTCTCGCTCTCTCGCTCTCTCGCTCTCTCGCTCTCTCCTCTTCTCGCTTCTCTCTCACTCCTCTCGACATATCTACCTTTCTCCCCCTCCCTCCCTCCCTCCCTTTCTCTCTATCTATCTCTCTATCTATCTCTCTATCTATCTCCCTCTCTCTCTCTATCTTTCTCCCTCCCTCCCTCCCTCCCTCCCAGCCATCATTCCTCCTACCCTAAGACACTCACATGCAGTAATACTGGACGCCCAGGATAGGAGTGCCGCCCAGGAGTGTGGTTCCGTCGAGTAACTCCGCCCCGTGCTTGTCCAGGAACCTGCCAAGGGGAATGGATGGGGAGATCGAGGGAATAAAAAATGGGGAATAAAAATGTGTGCCAATTATGGTACAATTCTGGTTCTTTGGTGTATTTTCTATAGGTTATACTCGGTGAGTTCCAATTTTGGTTTAATTCTGGTTCTTGGGTGTACTTTCTATAGGTTATACTTGGGGAATTCGAGGGAATAAAAGTGTCCCACTATTTTGGTTCAATTCTGGTTCTTGGGGGTACTTTCTATAGGTTATACTAGGTGAGTTCCAATTTTGGCTCAATTCTGGTTTTGGGGTGTATTTTCTAGTTAATACTTGGGGAGTTCGAGAGAATGAAAAAGTGTTTTTGTAGGTTATACTTGGGGAGTTCCAATTTTGGTTCAATTCTGGTTCTTGGGTGCACGGTCCACCCACTTCTTATGCCTAATACTTTGGGTGGTTCGAGGGAATGCAAGAAAGTGTTCCAATTTTGGTACAGTTTTAGTTCTTGGCTATACAGTCCACCTTATACTTATACTATAAACAAATAAACAAACATACAAATAAAATAAATAAATGAACAAATAAATAAATGAATAAGTAAATGACGTACAAACAAATAAACAAACATATAAATCAAATAAATAAATGAATAAGTAAATGACGTACAAACAAATAAACAAACATATAAATCAAATAAATGATTGAATAACAACAAATAAATGAATAATTACATGAATAATACATGACAATAAATGAATAAGTAAATGAATAAAAACAAATAAATGAATAAGTAGATGAATAAAAACAAATAAATGAATAAGTGAATGAATAAAAACAAATAAATAAATAAGTAAATGAACAAACAATCAAACAAACAAGCAAATAAATAAACAAGTAAACAAACAAACAAATCCATGAACAAGTAAACAAACAAACACATATCCAAGTACCTGAGGAGCGCCCCCAGAGCCCTCGTCATGGACACGAGATCGGTGTTGATCTTCCCGCGGACGAAGAGCTCCCTGTCCCCCTCCGTCAGGCCCTGCGGCTCCCCGGGCAGCGCCAGGGACAGCACGCGGCGCACGCACAGCTCGTACTCTGAAGGGCGAGGAGGAAGGTAGAGGAGGAAGGGAGGAAGGGGATAGGGGAGGGGGGAAGGGATAGTAAGGGGAGGATGGGATTGGAGGAAGGGATAGGGGGAGGAAGGGGATATGTGGGAGAATGGATAGGGGGAGGGGGAGATAGGGGGGGAGGAAGGGGATAGTGGGGGAGGAATGGGGATAGGGAGAAAGGGGATAGAGGATAGTGGGGGGAAGGGGATAGAGGATAGTGGGGAGGAAGGATAGTGGGGAGGAAGGGGATAGTGGAAGGAAGGGATAGATGGATGAAGGGACTAGGGGGGGAAGAAGTGGGAGGAAGGGCTAGGTGGGGAGGAAGGGTGATACTGGGGAGGAAGGGGTAGTGGGAAGAAGGACGGGGATAGTGGGGAGGAAGGATAGGGGAGGGGATAGGGGGGAAGGATAATGGGGGAGGAAGGGTAGTGGGGAGGAAGGGGATAATGGGGGAGGAAGGGGATAGGGGGAGGGAGGGGATAATGGGGAGGAAGGGATAATGGGGGAGGAAGGGGATAGGGGGAAAGGGGAGGAAGATAGGGAGGAAGGTAGAGGGGGAGGGGGATGGAAGGAAGGGGATAGTGGGAGGAAGGGTGGAGTGGGAGGAGGGTAGAGTGGGAAGCGATAACTGGGGTTGGTTTTACCCTGGGGGCGTTTTGTTTGGAGGAGGTAAAGCAGGTTTTGATAGTGTATCAGTTTAAAATGTTTTATTTACATATATACATATGCATACACACACACACACACACACACACCACACACACACCACACACACACACACACACACACACACACACACACACACACACCACACACACACACTACACACCCCACCCACACACACACACAAGGCCCGACCTATAAGCCCAAACCTACTGAAATCCGACGTTGGAAGGACTCGCAGGTTGCAGGAAGGCGTGACACAGAAGGAGGAGGAGGAGGAGGAGGAAGGGGTGGAGGACCTCGCCGGGGACGCTGCCGGGCCGTGAGACGCCGAAGGAGGAAGAGGAGGAAGAGGAGGAGGAGGAGGGGCGCGCTGGCCACCTTCTCCTGCGGCGCCTTCTGCAGGAGTCGTTCCTCTCGCGTCGTGCTGGAGTGCGAGGATGGCTGAGTGAGTTTGTTTACTCGGTTTGAGGATCGAGTTGATTGGTTTCAGAGGGTTTCTTAGTTCGTATTTTGGCTTTACAACACGTGTGTATATATTAATGTCTGTGGATATGTATTAATGCACATGGGTATGTGTGTTGTATTATGGTGTGTGTGTTGTATGTATGTATGTATGTGTATGTATGTATGTATGTATGTATGTATGTGTGTGTGTGTGTGTGTGTTGTGTGTGTGTGTGTGTGTGTGTGTGTGTGTGTTGTGTGTGTGTGTGTGTGTTTGAGTGTGTGTGTGTGTGTGTAGATAGAGAGAGGGGGGAGGGAGATACATACATATATATACATTCATAGGCAAAATAGAAAACTCACAAAATAGTCATTGCAAAGCATGTTGCAAAGGTAATACTGTTGACACTCTTCGTGCCTGCCACATACCCTCCTCAAATGTCTCAATTCTACTATCTACCATTACGCATAAACACGAGCAAAACACACACCTACACACACAAACACGTACGG